ATTTCCTGCCAGGATATTGCCATGATAAGCAATTGTGTTTTACAGAGTATTGCCATATTTCCTGCCAGGAAAGGGCCACAGAAAGCAATTGTGTTTTACTTTTTAATTTTGCCACATTTCTTTTTGGGACAGTGCCATGAAAAGCGGCTGGTTTTTACCAGGTTGTCGCCATGTTTCCTGTCAGGGTAGCACAACAAAAAGTGGTTGTTTTTTTACAATGATACCGCCATGTTTCCTGCCGGGACAGTGACATGCAAAGCGGTTGGTTCTTTACCAAGATATCTCTGCGTTTTCAGCGGTTATTGTGCCCACAAAATTGTGATCTTTCCCTAACCGCAACAAAGTGGTTTTTGTGCCTAAAACAAACCACACATTAACCGCAATGCCACTGAAATATAAAAGTTTCAGTGTGTCCGCTACAAAATAACATACAAATGTAATGGATCCGTGGTTTGCAAACAACGAACAACGCCAACATTGTTTGTGGCAGTTGGGTTGCAAAATACCTGCAGAACTACAGACATTTTAATTAGCCGCAGCTGGACTTTATTTTAACTGATAATGATGTTACAAAGGTGAACATCATAAACATTGTACCTGCTAACATCTGCATGTTAGAACTGGCATTGTAATGATGTTAGCATGCTGGTTTTGGCATTTAATTAAAGCAGCACTGTACAGCCTCACAGAGAGTCTGGTTTTATTTACAGTATCTATAAAGTAGTTTTACTTTGGTTTCATTTGTTTTCATATGTAGCTCTCCACCAACCATGATAGACACAAAAAGCTATGTTAAATACTGTGTCACAGTGTGCCTTTTAATTCATTTAGTGAACCAGAATAAAGAATTTGAAGGAAATGTCTACAATTTATTTGTATTCAGTTTGATATCAGCAGATGTTCAAAGTGTCACCTGAAACTCAGCACTGACTGTCATTGATTGACAGCTGAGTATCGTCAGCAGCTTGTTGAAGGTTTTAAAACAAGTCTTTAATGTCTGTTCTTCTCAACACATTTTTATTCCGACATACATTTGAGGTCATCTGTCCACATCAGGCTGCAGACAGAATTAATCTTTTAGCTACCAGGGAGAAACTCTGCAGCTCATCAGTTGTCCTGTGACGCTGCCGTGTCTCCAGAGTTTATTTCCTTCAGCTCAATCTTTGCATCTCCGTTGAGGTCACTCTGCCGGTGTCTAAACAGAAATGAAGAAAAGAAGTTATTTTATCATCCACAAAGAAAAAAATTATACCACAGAGAATTGTGATTTTTGAGGTTGAGGTTTTAATTAACCTTAAATAACTGGACAGTAAAACTAGATGCCTACAGTTAAATGTATGTGTTTGATTGGACTTAAGCTGAGAGAGAAGACGCAGCAGTTACAGTGCAAAGCAGGAAAGAGTGCAAATAAACAAAATATTAGCGATGCACAGTAACATCAGCACGTCATCAGTATTGGACAATATTGGCTTTATGATAAAATATCAGAATCGGCCAACATGCTTTTACATATTTAGCACAATGAATGAATAAATATCACACACTCTACTCCATCTGCTGGTGGGCCGTCACAATAAGAGTATGTATGTATTATATGATGTTAATTCCACTACAGAAGAGACTTAATATCACTTTAATTAGGTGGGGAAAAAGTGGATATATTGGTATTGGTTATGAGTCAAATAAGTTATTTATCAGATATCGACAAAAATATTCAGTATGGTACATGCCTACAAAATATTAAAGTAAAGATTATCCAAAAAAGCAAAAACCAAATGTACACAATGCCGGAAATGTAAACAGATTAACAGTAAGATGACATTTCCACCAGAGCTAGTGACACACGCGTCTCGATGCTTTTTATTCATTACCTATGGAGAGCAGGTCAAGCAGTTGCGCAGTGCATGGTGGGAGTGTTGCAGCGAGTTCGAGGGGGGAGGGGTTACAGAGCGCTGTCCCGTCTATTTTTGCATAAAGTAGACTAGATTGAACTTTACGATGCGCCTGCCCTCTCGCCTCAGTGTTACTTTGTCACGTGAGTCGACTGCAGTGTACAATCTTTTCCTGACCCTAACCAAGTAGTTCTGTTGCCTAAACCTACATGACAATGAAGACAGCAACAAAGGACAAACTCCATGATACAGATCAGTGTCTTGACCACATAATGAAGATGAAGCGGTATAAAGACAAACATCAGAAAACATATACAGTATATGCTACCTTCCCTCCTCAACATCCAAGATGTTTTCAGGGAGAGGGACGTTGAGTGTCTCCGGGAGCATGAAGACCAAGCTGCCGCTGACGATCCCCGTCCCAGCAAAGATCAGTGGTGGCAGAAGAAGCCAGACGTCCTCCAGCAGCATGATCATTGGTGCCACGGAGCTCCCAATCCGACAGAGACACGAGGTGTAGCCTAAACCACACTGCCTGTCCAACGACACAACCAGGAGCTTCAGTTTAACGCTGTGCTTATAAAGACAGAACAAAGTCTTTACCACCGATGTGTTTTGTCTATCTGGCAGCAGAGGACATCAGTCAGTCAGTCAGTATGCACAGTGAAGTGGAGCTACAGTCCCAGCTGGACGAGGACATCTAACTGGCCTACTGTCCTTGTCCCAGTA